AAATGTTCACATCTTAATAAGTTCAGTATACTTTCAGCTAGAAAAGCCATTCTGGTATCAAAATGGTATCAGGTTTTTCAGGACAATATGGTGTATAGTCAAGATTTTTTTTACAACTTTCATACTTTTGAAAATATTCAGCATTTATTCTGACAATTTTGTCCCATTCTTTTGAATGGGGAAATTCAACTTCAGCAAACTTTCTGCTATCAGAATGTTCAGCTCTTCAAGAACATTCATGCTTCTCTTCAGAATTTTTCTAAACTTCATACCTTTGAAATATTTAGTTTTATTTTGAAACTTTTGCCCCATTCAAAAGAATGGGGAAAATTCTACTTCAGCATTATTTCACCTATTCCAGGTATGAAAATGTTCAGCTCTTCAAGGACACTGATGCTTCTAAACCGTAGACCTTTTGAAAAATGTGGCTTTATTTTGAAAGTTTTTCCCCATTTAAATGAATGGGGAAATTCTACTTCATCATAATTTCTGCTATCAAAATGTTCAGCTCCTCAAGGACATTCATGCTTCTCTTCAGGATTTTTCTAAACTTAATACTTTTGAAATATTTAGCTTTATTTTGAAAATCTTGCCCCATTCAAATGAATAGGGAAATTCTTCTTCAGAATAATTTCAGCTGTTTTAGCTATCGAAATGTTCAGCTCCTCAATGACATTCATGCTTCTCTTCAGGATTTTTCTAAACTTCATACCTTTGAAATATATAGCTTTATTTTGTAAATCTGGCCCCATTCAAATGAAAGGTAAAATTCTACTTCACCACACTTTCAGCTATTTCAGCTATCTAAATGTTCAGCTCTTCAAGGACATGCATGCTTCTATTCAGAAGTGTTGTAAACTTCATACTTTTGAAATATTTAGCTTTATTTTGAAAATCTTGCTGCATTCAAATGAATGGGAAAATTTTACTTCAGCATACTTTCAGGTATCAAAAGGTTCAGCTGTTCAAGGACATTCATGCTTCTCTTCATAGGTTTTCTAAATTTCATACTTTTAAAATATTTAGCTTTATTTTGAAAATCTCGCCCCATTCAAATGAATGGGAAAATTCTACTTCAGCATACTTTCAGCTATCAAAATGTTCAGCTCTTCAAGGACATTCATGCTTCTATTCAGAATTTTTCTAAACTTCATACTTTTAAGATATTAAGCTTTATTTTGAAAATGTTGCCCCATTCAAATGTATGGGAAAATTCTACTTCAGCATACTTTCAGCTAGCAAAACCATTCAGGTGTCAAAATGTTCAGCATTTTCAGGGCAATCTTTCAGCAGTCAGCATCAATACGCATTTTCTTCAAAAAATGCATTTCTCTAGTTATACGTGATATTTTAAATTAGAGATGTGTCAAAACATATTTACAACATTTCTGACCGCCTCACTGAAATACTGGGTCCCTTAATAATTAAGTACCTAGCTAACTTGCTAAATTAGCTGAGCTATCTACAACAGAACACAGAATTAGTTTGCAAGGCTGTACTAGCCATTAAAAGTGGTAATTTGATCTGATAAATCTCACTGTTCCCTACAGAAAATAGATCTGCATCGGCTGTTTGGAACTATGGGAAGCTACATGAGTCACGTGACCTGTTGCTGTTTCTGGACCCTCAGTGTTGTCACTCATCTATCTTAAGGGCTCTGGCTTTGACTGAAGGGGCCAGTCAATAAACGTGTACCTAGACTATCAGGAAGGCTCATAATGGAAGCAGAAGATCTTGGCTTCATCTAACAGTAGTAACACAAAGGAAGCCAGGATAAAGATTTAGTCATGTGTTCCACTTTCTTGGTCTTGGTGCCCTGAAACTGCAGCTGTCCGTTTTGAATTGTTCTTTGGCTCCAGAAACAATTAGGTCTATTTTACCTTTATGTCACTGGAAGACATTGTGGAACATCCATTCACTGATTTCTTCAGTTTACTTCCTCATTGCCTGGATGGGACCACAGTCACTCAATGATACTACCAGTGTAAATGTATCACTCGTAAAAACATAATGCTAAGATATTTGTTATTTGTTGTTAGGAAAGACATGTTTTTACCAAAACCTGGAATTTTCATTGTTTGGATGCAATATCCCTTTAATCCTTTAGCTAAAAACTCAGGCTTAATGAGAAATGCCATTTGACATGGGGAGTATGCCACATCATGTACATGAACAAGTGTGTTTACCTTGCATTTTCCAGGCTTTTCTTTGCTCCTCTTTGGCAATCTGTTCCATGTCTTTGTCATAAATGTAGTCTTGGCACATAAAGCAGTAAATTCCCCCATACAGCAGGTCAATAGCTGGAAAGACAGAAACCCAAGGAAGAAGAGAGGCAAAACATCAAGAACGCATAAAAAAGCTGTTATAATCAAATACAGGAACACTTAATTTATCCATTTGACAAAGGGTAATAAATAGCTGTGTGTTACTACAAGCTTCATCTCAGTCTTTCTATTCAGGTCATGTTGCCATGGTGCTGTGATGCCAAGTAGCAAGGTCCTATTTTCTGCATTATCAGCTAACAGTTAACACCATCCAGGAACAATGGGGAGAGACCCTGAGAGGTGTAGAGAGCAATAAGAAGTGAAAAGGTGAGGAAGAACAGCCCATCTCCGACCATCCATACATGATCACTTTGCACACAGACTAAAACAGTCCTTCCACTCCCTCTCAGCACCATTCCCCTTACCTGCATTATACCCTGCAGCTACCTGTTTGCTGTTGCTATGACAACTTGCCTTTCGGCTTCATCCTCTTTAGGCATGGAGGGAAAAAGGGAGTGAGGGAGGTCAGGATGAATGAAGGCAAAAAGGTAGGGAAGTAAACTGAAGCACTGAATTTTACTGAACTGATATGAAAGAAAAAGAAATAAAACAAGACCAAAAGAAGGGAGAGGCTAATGGTACAATTATATGGAATCCTTTTCCAGTTTGGAATATAGAAAGGGTCAACAGGTAACCATGGGAACAAGAGGAGGGTCCAAAAAAAAAAAAAAAAAAAAAAAAAAAGGATAGGCAGAGAGATGAACCAAACACAAGGCTGCAAACAGAACGTGCCAAACAGCTGAGAGTGAAAATGCATAAAATGGTGAGATGAAAGACACTGGAACAGCAAAAAACAAGGGAGGAGGAGAAGCAGGAAGGAAGAGGAGCTGGGATTTAATGGAAGCCAATTCCACAGGGTTTGTTAAAGATTACTTAATTACCTCCTCACCACTCTGCTGAGATCTTTGCCTTTTTCATCTTTTCTCTCTCTCTCTGAGACCTTTGCTCACTCTAGTATCTGCAGCTTTTAATTCAGCAGCTAACCTAATTAAGCTCACAATTACACTCCGTGGGAAACACACATGCACTCACACAAACAGGAGGGGTTCTTCCTGAGCAGAGTGATAACACAGAGTAAAGAAGGCTTCCTACAAACAAAACTGGTAGATTCTCAACATCTGCCAAATCCAGCCTTTGTTATGGACACCCCGAGTGTCTCTGCTGCTGCGGCACTGCTCTCCTCCGAACACTGCAGTGCAGTGCAATGTACTCCACCTGCAGCTCAAACAGCCTATTTCTATTATATGGTAAATGTGTAGTGCTAGCATCACAGCATTTACACTAAGTGCGATGCCTTGTATTGGAGATAATATGCTGTTTTTCCAGAATTTCCCCTTAGGGGTTAATAAACTGCTTTATCTGTTTACAGTATCTTTTGAACGTTGCCTCTCACTGCAAGTCTGTCCTTTCTATCCTGTTTATTGTTGCTATATGCAATAAAAGCTTGTACAACCTCACCCATAGCAGCGCCCATGGCCGCCACATACTGCGTGTTGGAATTCATGAATGCACAGTGTTCCTAGGTTGTCTACATATGAGGGTTGATCTCAAAACGACAAGCAGAGAACAGTGCAGAGGCAAACTGTACTGTACCATAGTTGTCAACAAGCAGGAAAACACCAATGTTTGCTATCTGCCTTTTCACAAAGTCTTTCTAAGAAAATGTTGCAATGATTAAATGTGGTGTTGCACTGTTCTGGTAACTCTGACACAGAGTCAATCATCGTTTGCTTTCAGATAATACCACAGGCACACGTCATCTTACTGATCATGCAGAGTCAGTGAGGAATTAGGTCTTTTGTTGACTCAGGACTTTCTCTGTCAAAGTGTGCTTTTTGACTAAGAAAATGTCATTTATTTTTAAATATTTGTATGAACATGTGGTTACACATACGGTCACTGTCAAAACCTTTTTGGCAGGGACATGACACTAGAGGCCACTCTCAATGACATAAATAAAAAGGTTTCATAAATGATGCACCTACTATGACCTAAGGAATCATGTCACATTTTGGGAAATACACTCAAATTTGATCAGGGGACTGATACCACTTCCATGTCTATATGCTAAATATGGAGCTAGAGCCAGCAGGTTGTTAAAAGCAGGAGTCAGCAATAAGAAGATCCAGTGTGTTAAAGCTGCATTAACCAAGATTTAGCACAATTTTGGATAAATCCACTAAAATATTGTCTAGCAGTGTTTTCTTCCTGCTGTACTAAACTCCCACCACCCCAATCTTCAGGCCTTGTGTTTATTTCTACCCATCTCTGGCCAGTGTAGTTAAAATCTGCACCACACTTCTGCCATGTCCCCACTGATCTGAGGTTATAAGATGTGTTTTTCAAACCAGTATGGCTCACTTCTCAGACTGATCATGGTGACTCCTTGTGCAGGTACAACCCAGGATGGGAGTGGACCTGTTAGACCCAAGAGGCCGTGTTATGTAGCACAGGAAGAGTGCGACAAAGAGTGAGGCAAAACCAGGGTTAACATCGGTTTGGCATGTCAGAAATAGAGAGCATTAAAAGCATGCAAAGGAATAAAATTTAACACGGATGTGGCTTTTTTCCTGCTAGAAAGTACTGTACCTGGCTAACGTGTATATGTCGGCATCATTAGCAGGCCAATGTTAGCATTTCAATTTTGTAAATTTGTATTAAATTATTTTTGTTGAAATTTGGAGTCATTACAACTGACTGCAATGTTAGTGCTTTGTTATCAAATTACTGAAAGACAGCACATTTTGCTCAATTAGCAAATGAAGCTATTTTGCTTATTTGTGCTCGTTTGTCAAACATAACACTACAGTCCATGTAGTATTTAGTGAGTTGTTCAAATTTACACCACTGACACAACTACAACAGTTGCTCAACTATCAAAGCGTAATAGGAAATTTCTCTTGTACTGCATCAGTATTACTGGGGGGGGACCATTTCTCTGTATAATTTGCTTGTGTTACTGCAGATATATCTGCTACAAACAACATTTAGACATACATATGCATATCACTAAATTGTAAACCTCTGCAATGCCACCAAAAACCATGGGCTCTATATTTCGTATACATTATCATTAGCAACTAATCACTTTCGCCAAATATGTTATACACACAAGGAATTTGTCTCTAGTACAAAACCGAGGAAGCCATCTGCGGCAACAACTCACACCGATAGAAGCCCTATCCCTGCAGGGCGCTGCTCTAGCCATTGGGGGCAACTTGGGTTTCAGTGTCTTGCCCAAGGACACTTTGACATGTGGAGTTGTAGGCACTGTGATTCGAACCGCCAACCTTCCTGTTGATGTAGTTTCAGAGGGATATTGCTTGAGTTTGTTTTGACTCTCACTTTGCCCTTAATGGTTTAAGATTAGAGGAAGAAGTTAGTTAATGCAACTTTAATTAGTGAATGCTGGTGGTACTATTAGGTAGTTTTTTTTCCAGCTGCTGCACACAGTCAAGCTAGTAGTTTGCCCCTTCTTTCCATTAACACACAGCTATCATCCATATCTTCTTCTCCACCCCTGCAACAGCATGGGTAAAGAACTTGACCTGAACCGCCAAGCAACGCTGGAATGTCAGATGTGTGTCCAGTGCTGTTAAAAATAATTGTTAGGTATTTTTAAAAATAATTGTTAGGTATTTTTAGTCAGATAGAAATTGGATAGATACTTTATGTATTAGAAATGTTTAGTGGAGATAGGATGTCTAGTTAGACTGTTAAATGCTTAGTCATGCTTATGAGTTTCTACAGGGTACATCTGGTCAAGGATAACTAGAGAGAAGAGTTGATGACTGTCAGCAGACAGGGTGTTTAATATTATTATTATGACGTGTAGAACTGTAGCCTTAGCCATAATATGTTCTTATGTTTAAGACACGACATGTTACTAGAGGTCGTGTGAGAATGTTTTTAGTTACACACCACTTAATCAACAGACACACACACTCACACATTGATTTGCTTCATGTTTTGACTACTGCTATGGCCAGCTGCA